CATTTAAAAGATCATTTATTATGACCAAACGGAATTTATGCATCCCAAGGACACAAGAGTGATTTAACATATGCAAATTAATCAATGTGATACATCACATCAAAACACAAAGGACAAAGACTATACAATCATATCAATAGACATTGAAAAAGCATTAGATAAAATTCAACATTCCTTTATGATACAAACTCTCAAAAACCTGGATATAGAAGGAACACAGTCAAGCACAATAAACACCTTATATGACAAAATCACTGTTACTATCATACTGAATCGGGGAAAACTGAAGATCTTTTCTTTAAGATTTGGAACAAGAATGCCCACTTTCACTAATTTTATGCAACATAATACTGGAAGTCCCAGTCAGAACAATCCAGCAACAGAAAGAAATAAAGGGCATCCAAATTGAAAAGGAAGAAGTCAAACTATCCTTGTTTGCATGTGACATGATCTCATATTGAGAAAAACCTAAAGACTCCACCAAGAAACTATTAGAACTGATAAACAAATTCAGTAAAGTTGCAGGATACACAAAATTAACAAAGAAAAATCAATAGCATTTTTATACACTAACAGTGAACAATGTGAAAAAGAAACCAAGAAAGCAATCTCATTTATAATAGCTACCAATAAAATAACATGCCTAGGAATAAATCTAACCAAAGAAGTAAAAATTCCTTGCAATGAAAACTATAAAACCCTGATGAAAGAAAGTGAAGAGGACACACAAAAATTAGAAAGATGTTCCATGTTCATGGATTAGAAGAATCAATATTGTTAAAATGTCCATCCTCCCCAAAGCAATCTGCAGATTCAATGCAATTGCTATGAAAATACCAAATATGTTCTTCAGAGAAATAGGGAAAAAATCATTTTTTAAAAATCTTAAAATTTATATGCCACTACAAAGCCTAAAATAGCCAAAGCAATCCTGAGCAAAAAGAGCAAAGCTGGTGGCATCACATTAACTGACTTCAAAATATACTACAAAGCTTTAGTAACCAAGTCAGCATGGTATTGTCACGAAAACAGACACATAGATCAATGGAACAGAACAGAGAACCCAGAAATAAAACCACACATTGCAGTCCTCATTTTTTACAAAGGCTCCAAGAACATTCAATGAGGAAAGAACAGTCTCTTCAATAAACGCTGCTGAGAAGAGTGGATATCCATACGCAGAATGAAACTAAACCCCTATTTCTTGCCATATTAAAAAAAAAAAAAATTGATTAAAGACTTAAATCTAAGACCTGAAACTATGAAACAAATAGAATAAAACATTGGGGAAACACTCCAGGACGTTGGGCTGGGCAATGTAGTCCCAGCTAATCAGGAGGATGAGGCAGGAGAATCGCGAGGCAGAGGTTGCAGTGCTGGGCAGCAGAGCCAGACTCTGTCTCAACAACAACAACAACAAATTTTAAGTCTAGTAGGCGGAGGTTGCCGTTAGCCGAGATCACGTCATTGCACTCCAGCGTGGGCAACAAGAGCAAAACTCCGTCTCAAAAAAAAAAAAAAGAGCGTCAAGAGAGTGAAAAGCAAACTGAGAAGCTGAGGTGAGGCGGCAGCAGGTGATAATCAAGTAAGGCTGAGAACCAGGCAGTATGGTTGTTGCAAAAGAGGCAGAGAGGGTCAGATGATCCTCGGGGTATCTGGGCATGTTTGAGAACGGACAAAAAAATAAATAAAAATATTGATGACCACCAAATGAGACCAGTAGGAAATGGCTGGAAACGTTTCAAGAAACTTTGATCACCCAACCAAAGCCCACAAGGCAAGGCACCGGGTGCTGTAGACCAAGGGTGGGCGTGCCCCGACATGGGTGTGGCGATCAGCCTCCCGAAGGTAGTCAGACAGTGAAAGGGAAGTGAGGGGCGGGTTTAGACGGCATATTCGCATTACAAAGCATTTTAAACTAAACAAAATAGGAGTGACCACTAACACTCGCAAGAATATCCAGTTCTGTTTCCTGCAGTGCTTCATGTTTCTGAAATCCTCTTGTTAAAATGAAGGGAAAACCTCTCAACAAAAGCAGGAATGAGGAAGCTGATTTTCATAATCATAAACTACATCAGATGGTACCTGGGATTTCTGCCCAAAGTGAACTTACCTGAGGAATTAGAAAGGTCACGGAAACTTACGAACTAAATTAACTGTGACACTTGCTTTCAGATTTTTCTGTTTTTGTTTTTGTATCTTTGGTTTTTGTTTGTTTGTTTGTTTGTTTGTTGTTTTTGTGGGGTTTTTTTGGAGACAGATTCTCATTCTGTTGCCCAGGCTGGAGTGCAGTGGTGCAAACTCGGCTTGCTGCAGCCTCTGCCTCCCGTGTTCAAGCAATTCTCCTGCCTCAGCCTCATGAGTAGCTCGGACTACAGGCGCCCGCCACCACGCCCAGCTAATTTTTGTATTTATAGTAAAGATGAGATTCCACTGTATTGGCCAGGGTGGTGTCACACTCCTGACCTCATGATCCGCCCACCTTGGCCACCCAAAGCACTGCGACTACAGGCGTGAGCCACTGCACCCAGCTGCTTTCAGGTGTTTTTAAACTGAGACAATTACCACAAAATAATCAGGAATGAGTCTTTATTTATGGGTTTGAACTTCAGTTAAATCCACAGTTGCTCCAATATGAAAACACATGAAATCTACTTAGTCGAGTAGCCAGGTCTATTGACAGCATGCTTCACTCTTCCTTGTCTCCTTTCTCCCTCTCCCCTCTTTCCTTACTCCTAAAAATTTCCTTTCCCTATTTTATTTTGTATTTCTTATACCTCTTCCTTGGGCGCTGCTAGACAAGGTGAAGAATTTCATTCTTGGTTCTCAAAGTTAAAGGCTTTGCAATGCTACTGAACTATTCACCTGACTACCACTCTCAGAATGTCAGGTGAAGAATCTCACCAGGTTGCTTTTATAACCCCTGAATTTCTGCACATTGAAGTGAGGATGTTGACGTGGAAAAACACAAAGAAAACAAAGGTAGATTATTTCCTGGTATCAAGTAATTTTGGGTTTTTTGTTTGTTTGTTTCAGACTGAGTCTCACTCTGTCACCCAGGCTGGAGTGCAGTGACACGATCTTGGCTCACTGCGACCTCCCCCTGGGTTCAAGCAATTCTCCTGCCTCAGTCTCCCCAATAGCTGAGATTACAGGCACCCGCCACCACATCGGCTATTTTTTTCATATTTTTAGTAGAGACAGGGTTTCACTATGCTGGCCAGGCTGGTCTTGAACTCCTTGTCTCAGGCGATCTGCCCGCCTCAGCCTCCCAAAGTGCTGGGATTACAGGTGTGAGCCACCACGCCTGGGCTTCAAGTAGTATTTTTATAATTGTTACAGCCACAGTAATAAGAATTTGTTATTATTAACTCCCATTGGTTGAATGCCTCTGTGCCATGCATTGTGCTAGATGTTTTCTATATTTGTTTTTAACATTCACAAAACTTAGAGTGAACAGATTCAGAGAGGTTAATTAATTTGCACAGATTCACAGAACCCAAGGTAACAGAGCCAGTATTGTTTAGCCTCAAAATCGTATCCTTTCCACTTCAACATCATTTAAACTTCCCATTCCAAGTAAGGAAGAGATGTAAGAAGACTTGAAATAAAGACTCTGCTAAGTCTCAAGCTCTTTTAATGCTTCCAAGAAAGACAGTTTTGTATATTTCCCTTCTCCACACATTCAAGAAAAGGCCATTGAACTTTTCAGGGTTATGACTTTGCAGTATTTTCAAATTAGCCTCTTTATATCATATTTCTATATGATTTGTCTCAGAAAAAGTAAGCACCTACTATGGTCTGAAAGTTGGCATCTCCCATGCCCAACTTTTTATGTTGAAACGTAACCCCTAAGATGATATAGGGGAGGTGATTAGATCATGAGGACAGAGCCTTCATGAATAGGGTTAGTGCCCTTATTAAAGAGACCCTGGAGAGCTGCCTCATCCCTTCCATTATGTGAGAACACAGCTGGAAGGTGTCATTTATTATGGAAAGGGTTCTCACCAGATACCAGATTAGCTGGCACCTTGATCTTGGACTTCCCAGCCTCCAAAACTATGAGAAATAAATATTTATTTCTTATAAGCCACACAGTTTATGGTATTCATTATAGCAGCCCAAATGAACTAAAACAATACCATTTATAAATATTGTACCTGATGTGCCGAAAATTATCTGGAAACTTTTAATTTTCCTCTTGTAACTTAAAGGTGGAGGATAAAGATCATATATGTCACCATTTGCTTTACATTTAAACACCTTAGATTATTTAATATTAGTAAATACAGATTAAATAAAACTCAGATCATTCATACCTGTTAATGCAAACTCTCATATCAACTAGTCACTTGCTTCCCTTCCTAACTTCACCTGGGAGAAGTTTCCAGGGCATTCAGGATCCCCCAAGTGAAACTCCCTCACTTCGTCTCTTCTTCTCCTTCTCTTCTTGAGTTTTAAGGCCAACTACAGTGTCAGTTGCATAGCTCAGCATTCAGAGACTCAGAGAAGGCAACTTACCTGTCCTGTAGTCCATTTAGGTGGTTTATGACAAATAAAGCAGTACTGCCCAGTTTTATTTGCTGTCAGCTAGGGACAGGATTCTGGTCAACTAATAGCACAGTAGAAAAAACCCAGTAGGTAGCTCAAAAAATAATTGTTCTAGGGGCATGTGGCACTAAAATGAAAAGTTGGCTAGACAAGTAATTTTGAAGTCATAATTTTAACCTACAGAAAACAAATTATCACATGCAACTAGCATTTGCTAATCAGTTATTACCCTGTGAGTCCTGCAGGTGGCAGTGGAAAGATCTCCTGCTGGAAGCTAACCATTAGTTGGAGCCAGAATTATGTGACTCTGAATGTAATAAAACTTTAATTTCTATACTTCTCATGATCTCTGACCTATCCCAAATTATTAAGGCTTTACAAAAAGCAGAGGTCTGTCCTACGTGTCAGCTTTCTGAGATTTTTGAAAAAGATCTTTGTGCTTCTCTTACCGAAAATGATGCTCCATCGACCCTTCATAGCTGAAGTTCCTGCACCTTGATCCAGTGTTACAAAGAAGGCTTTGAACAAAGGGGATAACACCACGGCTGGGCAGATCTCGGGGCTGCAAATAACCTAGAAATAGATGCAAAGAAGAAATAAGTCCATATACCTACTACCAGAAATGGAATTCCTGTTGAGTTGAAATTGTAATATAATATATTATTATATTATTAACCTTGCTGTTAATTTAAAGGAGATCTAAGGACTCAGACAAAAAAAAATCAAACAAAATGAAACATCTTTATATCTAACACCTTTCTTCCAGGGCCAATATTCATGTTTCAAGGCAGAATGGCTCTGAGCAGCCATAGCTACAGGATTCACAAGATTCCCCATTCACAGAGTGGAAATACCTCTGAGGCACAGCCAAGCTTCCAGACATGGCTCTCTATGAACAAGCTGCGAGCAGGAAGAATAAAAAGGATGCTTCTTTCCATGTCATATAAAAATGTAGGAGTTTTTAGTTTTAGCAAAAACTTCAAGCTTAATGCCAGTTGAATTCTGAATGCTTAAATATAGCTGTTAAATATTGTGTAATACAAAAAAAAAAAAAAGTCTTTCTACACGGAATAAGACTTTTCAGGACAAACGTCACTAGAAAATAGCCACCTCTGTGGATAACATGCTGTTTACACATCCCCAACCATATCCTTCCTTCACACCACCAGGAGAGTGGGAGTAGTGAGGATGCTGACGGCTGCAACAACTTGAAACTTGTGATTACCAGCCGGGTGTGGTGGCTCACACCTGTAATCCCAGCACTTTGGGAGGTCGACCGAGGTGGGTAGATCACCTGAGGTCAGGGGTTTGAGACCAGCCTGGCCAATGTGTTGAAATCCTGTCTCAAAAAAAAAATACAAAAATTAGCTGGGTGTGGTGGCAGGTGCCTGTAATCCCAGCTACTCAGGAGGCTGAGGCAGGAGAACCACTTGAACCCAGGAGGCAGAGGTTGCGGTGAGCCAAGATCGTGCCATTGCACCCCAGCATGGGCGACGAGAGCAAAATTCCGTTTCAAAAAAAAAATAGAAAGAAAGCTACGATTACCATTGTAATCTAATATGATGTAGCTCATGAAACCCTGCTGACAGCCTTACTGCTCACAGCCTTACTGCTCACATCTAATTTGGTCAGGGAGATGATCCAGGAGTTAGAGACTCCCTATGCCCAGCATTCAGCACAATGCCTCTCACATAGAAGACACTCACTAAATGAATGAATTGAAAAATACATGAATAGGTTTTTAGCTAAGGGAACAAATGGAGTTATTAGCAGACACAAGGCTCAGTGCTCTAGAATAATATACCATAAAAGAATTTGGGGTTATATCCCAGCTAGCAATAAAAGGTGTGTTTTCCTAGCATAATTTCTGTGTCCTGTTTTTCTGAGGAACACATGAGGAATGGAAGTCACCACAGTGAGGTGTTCAGTGGATCAGATAATTTGAGGATGCTAGTTTGGGATACAGTGTGTCTCCAAGACTAAAGATTTGGCTTTGTATCTTTGGGCCACCTTGTAATACAAGTAACTGGGTGTGAAGGTCTTGAACATCTCATGGAATACAATTAAAAACATGTTTTACAATGAGGATGCTGAGAATCACAGGTGTGTCTTTCCCCAGATCACACACAAACCCAAGAATGACTCTAGGTCAAATATTCATTCTACTGCATCTCACTATCTCCAGGAGCAGGCCTGGAACGGAGATGCCTGTCCAGCACCCCAGGATTGCCAGGGCCCATCTGAAACCTGGAGCACTTTCCTAGGTCTCCCCAGGGTCCTTGACCGCTTCTTGTTTTTCTCTTTTCCAGTCCCTGAAAGTGAGAACACAAAGGCAGCGCTGCCCTGGCAGCTGTTTTCACATTCATATGTAGCTCGAGGAAGCAGCAGCGCCCTGGGCTTGTGCCTGTCCACCTGCATGTGCAGCCTGCCCACACCATAGGTGATCACAAGCCTAACTTCAACAGCACAAACAGAATTTTACTGGGACAGACATATACATAAAGCTTCTCAAGCTTTAATCTCTCAAGGTACTTAACAGGAAATTTCATTTTCCTATGCAAATAATCTTAACTTTGGAAGATTATTTATTCTTAGTGAAAATACCCATATATGCAGTCTTTGGCTTCATTCTAAAATTGTAAAACCCACATCACCTTTCCTAAGGTCCTTCTCAGTCACAGCATAAGAATGGGGCCAGCTCTTCCTGTAACAGGACAGACACAGAACAACTTCCACACAGTGGTGACTTCAGGGGTCAGCAACAGTGCTCAGAGAGTGCATTTCCTCGGCATGGCTTCTGTGTCCCATCTCTCTCTCCAGGAACACATCAGGAATGATGGCCCCACAGAGAGTGCTCAATGGGTCAGAGACTGAGGACTTCAGCCCTGGACACATTTTCTCTCCAAGATTAAAGACCTGGCATGGTAACATCAGGTCACCCCAAAACAGTGGGAAGCATGAGGGAGGGGGATGGGCATTTTTTAAATCATCTCCATGCCAGGCCTGGTGCTGAGTGCATGCTCCTGACCGGCTTTCTCTCCAAGCCCTTACAGCAGCCCTGGGAGCCAGGAGAAATTTGCTGTCTTTATAGAGAAGAGGTTCACAAAGGTTGCACACCATGCTCATCCCCACAGAGCTGATGGGGGGCTTGATGGAGCTTCAACGTGCAGTCCTTGATCACTTTTGACTCCTGAGCCCCTTTGAGACTCTGACAAAGCCTTTCCTTCTGTAGGAAAGCTCATCTGTATATCTCTAGGAAACATTTCCGGTGTTTCTTTGGGCCACATCTTTGTTGGACTGCACTCCTGATACAAAGCAAGAGCTTGATAAATGTTTAAGGGATGGATGGAAACTTTGAGGATAAGGAACATCATAAGCTGCTCTTTCCATAGGGCAGGACTGAGCTAGTACCACACTGGATGGCAGACTTAGTGCTCTCTATCATTTACAACTAAATCATTCACAATTTTGCATTAGCCACTATCATTTTGAGGCTTCTTATCAGTCTTGATACCATGTTATCCTCTGGTTGCATGCAAGCTTTTTTTGCCCAGTTTTGCCCATTTCTCCTGCATAGTACTCCTGGTTGGTTTTTTTTTTTTTTTATCACTTACCTTTCCTTTTCTCACCCACTTTGCTCTTCAGGCTGTTGCAGCCTGGCCCTCCTCATCCTATCCCTCCAGTGAACTGCCCTGGAGAACTTGTCAGCCCTTATCTACTCCTGCAGCACACAGCAACAGCACCTGTCACTCTGCCATGCCTCCTTCTTTCAATGCTTCCCAGGCAGACTCCAAATCTCTGTTTGCCTTCCAGCACTCTGGTTGCTGCTTATTGTCTCCTCTGTTTATCCCTTGAATGTGCTCTTCCTGAGGCCTATATTCTGGAAGTTTCTCCTTCTTAGGTGTCCTCATCTATGTGATTCCAAATTCATAATCTGATTGATTAGGTGGCTCACCCTGACAATCTCAAGAGTCCCTCAGACTCAAGATGGTCATGCTGAGCACAGCTCCCCAAATCCCCTACACGTCCTGTGCCCTGTCAGTTTGGTGGGAGTGCACTCTCCACTCAACTGTTCCAGTCAAAGACCTCCCTGTCCTCATGCATCCAGACAGTTGTTTCTGCCCATCTTACCTCCTTCATGTCCATTAAATCTGGCCTCTTCCCCCTGCTTCAGGGCACAACCATCTCTTGCCTGGTTACTCAAGAGCTCCACAAGTTGATCTTGCCTTCTGTAGTGTTGCTTTCCACCTACCCCTAATTCAACCTTTTCCAGTATCCAGAATGTGACCCCTAAATGCTCATTTTATTATGACCTTGCCTGAAACCTTCCAAAGGCTCCTTCATGTTCTTTGAGAGTTTACCATCCTCAACATCATACAAAGCCCTTTATTTGACCCTGCTTACTTCTCCAGCCATATCTCTGCCTTTTTTGGTTGCACTTTAGGCTTTTGTCCATGCTGTCTGCCCTGCCTAAACAATTTCTCCTCTGCACTCCCTTGTTCTGACAAAGTTGCACATTGCCTCAGATGCCTTTCCTTAGAATGGATTAGCCATCCCTCCTGTGTGCTCACACGGCTCCCTGTGTAAAATCCCATCATGGCAATTTTCCCACTGCATTGTAATAGTCTGGCCCTACAATGAGCTCTGTAAAGGGAGGGAAAAATGCCTTGTCCACCATTTTATTCTCAGCAAGGCCTGAAACACAAAAGGCACTCAATACATGTTTATTGAATAAATAAATAATAAAGTAGAAACCCTGAAAAGCTTTTATCTTTTCCTAAATGCTATTTTACACACATGGTTTTACATTTTTCCATTCTGCAACACACAGGAGAATCCCCAAACAACAAAGACAAACTGATAGGAATGGTCCTAATATGTGTAAAACCTAAATATAACTGACACACTATTTTGGTAAAATCCCAACACTTAATAATCCCTCACTGATGTAATGATTACAGTGTCAACCACATTATACATACAAGTGGTATAGCCTGATAGAGACAAAGCAAGCCATTATTTCTCAAGGAGTGATTTTGTTAAGGTTTCAACACAGATAAACAAAATGGTTCATCTGACCACTTTCCTGAGGCACAGGAAGTTACCAGTAATAGTGTATCAGAGCATCACCATCACAACTGTTAATATCATCATAGTAATCACTATCATCACCATCATCATCATTTCCATCATTACCTTCACTATCATCACCAACAACACCATCATCACTATCATCACCAACAACACCATCATCACTATTATCATCTCCATTGTAATCATCATCACAATCATCATTACCTCCACCATCATCTCCATTATCATCATCACCACCATCATTACTATCATCTCCATTATCATCACCATCATCACTATCATCTCCATTATCATCACCATCATCACTATCATCTCCATCATAATCACCATCATTACTATTATCTCCATCATAATCAGTCTCATCGCTATCATCATCTGCATCATCATCACCATCATCACTATTTTCCTGATCATTTCCATCATTATTACTATCATCTTTATTACCATCAAGATCACCACTATTGTCATCACCATCATCACTATCGCCTTAATCATCATTACTATTATCTCTAGTATTATCACCATCATCACTATCATCATCTCCATCATCATATCTCCATCATCATCACCATCATTACTATCATCTACATCATCATCACTATCATCATCTTCATCATCATCATCACCTTCATTACTATCATCTCTATCATCACCATCACCACTATCATTATCTTCATCACCATTATAACTATCATCACCATCATCATTTCTATCATCATCATCACCATCATCTCCATCATCACTATCTTCACCATCATCATCATATCATCAGCATCATTATTTTCTCACCACCATCATCATCACCATCAACATTACTATCAGTATCATGCTGATAAACAGTGAAATGCATCTCCCACTTATACTTCTTCTACTCTTTCTATATTTATAATGGCTATTTACCTATTCCCAAACTGTGTCAGTTTTAATTGGAAGAATAAATCTGTGTGCTAGATTGAGTGAACCTGTGTAAATATCACTCTTAAAAGACAAAACCTAAATTGTGGCTTATTGACATATACTCCAGATATGTTGTTATTGTCATAATGAAACCCTATCTATTCGTTTTACTCAGCATTCAGAGTTTATAAAAAATGAGAAAGAGTGCTATGAGTTTTTTTCTCCAAAGATTAATTCAAAAAGTATATAAAAAGTAAAACTTACAAATGTCTCTGTATCTGGGAGGTTCTTGAAAACGAAGGACTGTCAGAATTATAAACAGGATACAAGGCCAGAAGAATTCAGCAAGGAAAAGGACCTAGAAAAATTTTTTAAAAAACAATACCACTTGAATAAATTGTAAAATATTACAATATTTTCATCTATTGAAGGAGGTCATTGTAATCCCTGCTTTGTGTCTCAGAACAGTCATTTGGGACAGGATCCCACAGAAAAGGCCTAGTTTATTTATCATTGCACCCAGATCTGTGACTGTGTCATCTCCTTGTTCTTCTCCCATCAGACCCAGCTTTGCTTCTTTCCTTTTTCTGTACATTTTTATTTATTGCAGAACTTATGACATTAGAGAAATTAAAGAAATAAATAACTTCACCCATATTTCCCATACTTCAACATAGCAACTATTTTTATTTTTCTAATTTCTTTAACGTTTCTGACTTTTTTACCCAAAGAGATATTTTGCTGGCTTTGGTGGTAGCATCCACTTCTCATTTTCCTTCTTTTTATGCATATTTTTCAATATTGCCTTATGAGGTTTATAACTATCAGCTTACTTGTTGCATAAAATTCTTGCCTAATGAATACGCCATAATTCACACATTCTTCTATTAAGGAACATTTTGTGTATAAATAATCTTTCATTTGAATTATTGTCTTAAAATTAGAATAAACTCCTAAAACTAAGATTACTGGAGTAAAATCTCTTGACACAGACTACAAAAGAGCTACTTGAAATGATTGCAATAATTTGTACAACCTTAAATTTTCAAAGTTAAAAGAAAATGAACTGCCATTGACACATGGAATTTAATCATTTGAGGAAAAAAATCACCAACTATAAGGTATAGCTCAAAAAATTAATAGAAAAGCCTCAATTATCATAAAATTAATTTTACTGTCATCGTTCTTTACTTGTTTTATGGTGGATAATCTTGTACTGAATTCAGATGACATCATTTTACAAATACAAAAGTTTATAGCCAGACAAAAAATAGGCAAGCTATTGAACAAATGCACAAACAAAAACCTAAAAATCTGCAAGTTAAGAATGCTCCATCAAACACCAAAGAGGATGTCTTACTCTTTCAGATTCCCAGTTATAAAGTTTTGAACTAACATGAACTTCTGGTCACTTTGGTTTCTTTATTCTTTGAACTGCCATGGTCATATCCCATTACAGTAATCCTTCCCTGTAGGCAGATCTAAATGTGACCAGATGAGTGGCCTAAAGCCATCAAGACAAAACACAGGTGTAATTAAAGAAGAAATCCCTGGTGTAATTAAAGAAGAAAAGAAATCACCCTCTTTGGCCGAGCATGGTGACTCACACCAGTAATCCCAACACTTTGGGAGGCTGAGGCAGATGGACCACTTGAGGTCAGGAGTTCAAGACCAGCCTGGCCAACACAGTGAAATCCCATCTCTACCAAAAATACAAAAAAAAAAAAAAAAATTAACCAGGAGTGGTGGTGCACACCTGTAATTCCAGCTACTCGGGAAGCTGATACAGGAGAATTGCTTGAACCCGGGAGGTGAAGGTTGCAGTGAGTCAAGATCACAACACCCTGCACACCAGTCTGGCAACAGAGTGAGACTCCATCTCAAAAAAAAATTAAAAATTAAAAATAAATCACCATCTTTGAAATAATCCATGAGGAGGTATTTCTTGTGCCAAAAAGTGCATCATGATTAAAAAGTTCTCTGACACAGTCCTGAAACCCAGTTTCACACATTCTGATAACAAAGAAAATGTCTGCAGATTGCCCTCTGGTTCAAGGGACCACAATTAAACTATAAAGAAAGGTCAAGGACACTCAGGAGATAACTATTTATTTAAGTCATTTTGGTCATTCTCTGTAACAAATTAATAAGTTACAGGAGTATTGGAGCAGGAAGGCGGTGGGGGAAGATTCTATCATTAATTCTGACTGAATATACATAAGCAAAATAAAAAATATACCTCATATTAAATGATAACTTGATAGCATTAAGAAGAATAAACACATAATTTTCTTGGGTTTTTTGTTCTTCTTCATTTTTAATAACATATGATAGCTATTTTTAAGACAAGCAGTTATAAAGAAAACAGAAAATGGTTTATAGACCCAAGACTCATATAACCTTTGAATTATAAATATGTAAACAAACATATGTATGGTTGAGAAATTTTAAAAGAACACAAAAATTACAACCATTCTCCTATAGGATAAACTATCTATTTACAAAATACATGTATATGTATTATGTGTTAGAACCAATTTTCCATAACAGCATTTATAGTTCTACCTTGTTACTTTTAAAGACTACATAATATTCCACTGTAGGATTTTATTTATTTAACCAATCTCTTCATCATGAAAATTTGCATGTTTTTCTCTTTGGGGCCAGTGATATCATGAGGATTTTTTTTGTTTCTTTGTTTTTTTTAAATCAATTAGGGTGGTATTTACTTAGAAGAGAAGCGTTTCCGCTTGACATTGAAAACTCTCTTAGGAGTATTTCTAAATGTTTTACATTACATGACACTATTAAAATATTACAACTAGGAAAATTTTGCTCAAGTTTGCAACAGTTTTCTTGAAAAGGTAAAGGCCATCAAAGTCAGACACATGTGTAGCATGCATTTTGGTCCAAAACCACCAAATATATTACTCTATTATAGTTGATTACAGATAGCAGAACAGCAACATACTAAAACCAATGCACATTAAGAAATCAAGTAGATGCAATTCAGTGAATCCCAACTTTTAACTTCATGAGGTTTTATTTTACATATTTGGCTGACTTTTGTAAGTATATCCATGAGGTACCATTGCTAAATGGGATTACTGCACTAAAGTGTATATGATTTTTAATGTGGATTTTTAATTTGGATGGATATAACCAAAATGTCCTCATTAAAAACTAAACCAATTATCATTTACTCTGATTACACTTTCAATAACACCTAGGATTAACAAACTTAATTTTTTGTCAAGCTGATATGCAAAAACATAATGATAACTTTAATTACTTAGATCAAGCATTTTTCATAATTTAAGCATATAATAATTCCTTGCCTATTAATTCTTTGTTCTTCCAGTTTCCTATTTTTCTATTAAGTTGTTCTTTATTTTTACTGACTTAAAAAGCATCATTTTCTATTTAATTTTTTAGTTAGAGAATTCAGCCTTTTCATGGCTTATAGTATTACAAATATTTTCTCCAATTTTGTATTTGCCTTTTTATTGTCTAAATCGTTCATGCCATTAATTTATCGATCTATTATTTATAGTATCCGGATATTGTTCCCTTCACACCAAGACAACATCATTTAAAGGACCCTGCCAAAGCCAAATTAAAATAGTCAGTAGCAACTCTAAAATCACAAACATTTATCAGTCCAGTCTTAAAAATCAACAGTCTCTAGTTTCAAATGAAAATAATATTGGAAGAAAATCTTATCGTTGAGATCTCTAAGGATCTTGAAATAATAACAGAATTCCAATTAAACCTAAAAAACAGTATCTCAGAGTGTTTGTTTACAAGCTGGTCACTGGCCCTTCTGAAAAGCACAAGTGAAAAAATATCTTTCTTTGTTCTGAGTCTGAAGTTGCTCCATTCAAGAGAAAAGCAGCCAGACACCAGTTCTGCTGCGTCATTTTCCATTGTGCCTGAGTGAATCAACCTTTCATAAGACTATTTCTCTCCGGGGTGCAAAGGCAGCCTTCCCTTTCTCATCACATTTTTATGTGACGTTTTTCTTCTTATGTGTCATTATTATCCTTGAATCTTGCTTAACATTTTGAATCTTATCCCTGTTAAATAGGAATGTTGTCTGATTAATGCTAGGGTTTCACCGTATCTCCCACATCTCAGATCGTCCAGTGCTGACTTCTTAACACCAGGAAGTGACCCAAGCAGAAGCAGAAACTGGCACTTCTGCTATCCAAATGGCACTGACGCAGATGCTGCCACAGGCTCTCCTCTCAAGAAAAATAACCGTCTGGTAAACCTATTAGCAGTTAACAAAATAATGCCCCCCACTACCAAACCACCACAAAGCCCTCCTACTCTTCCAGGAGGGAAGCTCCGACCAGCAGAGTGTGGAAGTGTTCAGTCCTGTACCCCGGCGCTTCCCATCCGCAAGGCACTTCTCACCACGAATTTCGTGGATGCCTAGATCCCTGTTCCACTCCCATTCCTCTCACCCTGTGGCCCGAGCATGAATATAAACCTTTCCATCGTTCTGTCAACACAGCTGAGCCACAGTGGCATTTGGGAAGACATTAGCAACACATACAGATGAACATGTACACAAAAAGGACTTCTGCGTAAAATGATACATTGAAACTTCCTCACAGACTTTTTCTTCTTTCAGACAAAATGGGTGGGGTGGGGGAGAGAAAATAAAATAAATTAGAGGAGGCAGGAATAAACTTGTATTTGCCTAATACAAAAAAACTACCAGAATGGAAAAAAAAAGAAAGAAAGAAAGAAAAAATATTTCTAGAGCAGGTTAGATAAGCTTACCATGCCTCAACCCGGACTCAGTTGACAATCTCTAAAGCTATAACAAAGTCCCCTCACAATCCTGGTAACTATCCCCAGTACCCATCCATGGAGATGAGCACCCCAAAGGAGTCTCCTTATCTCCTGCTTCTGATAGAGGAGTTGGAAAAACTGCTACCGAGAATGATCAAATAAACAAGGAAAGTGAACAATGAGGCTGACTCTTGGGGAAGCCTCCAGGACTACATACAAAATGTGAGAAGAATCCAAAGCTGGAGAACAATTTCCGCAACTAGATGAACTGAACATGGCATAAAATGTTGAACAATTTTTCAAAGGAGAGCACAGAGCCCAACTGGTCTAATAAAGGTTGTATTGCATCTCAGATGATTTCCCTCACTCTTCTCCCTGGCCCTCCTGACCATTTCCAATCTTCTCCTTCTATAGATGATTAGAGCATACAGGATATGCTCAGGGATCACACTAGATATTGAGGGAGAAATAAAACTCATCCCTGATTTATTGAAAAGAGAGTCAAGAACAAATATAGTACCTGGGCTGAACTCCCCAACCATGGGTGGCAATAAA